ACCCCATATTACTCAACAGGACCAGACAATAATTGAGTGCGTTTTCAGTTTACGCTTTGGATGGTTATACTTTATTTCATTTTTTTTACTCAAGACATATCTGTTTGATATACGCAACTATTGTTTAAACATTAGAATCTTCGTCAAACTGCAATAACTATCAGTGTTTTATAATACTTTTTTCCCTTAAATATGGGTTTTATATCTAGTTATTATAAAATACAGGGTTATACTTTTTTTCCATTAAGTGTCTAAGTTTACTCTGTTGGACATAGGAGTAACATGACGGGTGTTACAAGTGGAGCAATATTTTCATTCCCTGCCGGAGCACCTGAGATCACCCAAAGTTTTTAGCGGGTTTTGTGTTGCTAAGGGTAAAGTTTCTATGCTGTCTTTTGTGTACTGTCGTGTGTCGTTATGTCTTTTGCCCTTTTTGAGCCGTTGTGTATCAGTTTATGCAAGATTTATGAGATTGAATGTTACTTTGGTATCTTTCGTCTCTCTCTTGAATATTTTTCTCGTTTGCAATCATACCACATGTCTTTATTGCATATAAAATTATTTGGCTATTTTTTATAGATCACTTTTAGTCTAATAGTTCCTTACGCTTCTACGTGGTTAAACACCCATGGCTGTCAATTGATTAGCTTAAAGCGTCCCTAATGAAAGTTAATCCAGGGAAGCGCTTCGTACGCACGAAATTTGTAAAGTGTTATTTTCATTTAAAATCTTGTATCGTGTAGCAAGATGTAGATTAGCTATCAGAGCTATGTGTCTTTACTATATTTGTGTTTTTCTATTATTTAGTGACCTCTTTTTCGTGTGCGTTAATTTCCTGATTGATTAGTATTAAAACATCAACTGCTATTGAAAATTCAAAACACAGACCCATCATGAGTTTCTAACACGAAATAACTAAGTTTAGTAATTTGAGACTATCTGAACGTGTTACAGGAAAAAAGGTGGAAGATACGAAAAAGGCAATGGGATTCCATTTATGAAATCATCAAGGATAGCAAGAAAAATAACAGTCCTTTTATTTGATTAACAGTATATTTTGTATACGAAGATCCACAATGAAGCCAAATAAAGAAGATCAAATTCTGTAGAAATCATTTATCAGTATTGTATCGGAGCAATGAAACAAAACTTAACTGTTAGGTCACCGTTTAAGACATTTGTGCCTCGTTTGTCTCGTGACGGGTCAAACTAATTATTTCAGGTTGGAACTTGCAGATTGTCTCCTAAGCATTCAGATCGAATCTATGACTTAAACAACTGCGAATAATGTCTTTCTTGCATAGCTTGAGTTGCGTATGCCAATGTTTCAAGTAGAGCTCACCATAGTTAGCATGCATTCACATTATAAGTCCAAAAATGTAGAGAAACCATTGTATATTATACTTACATTTACTACAAGTCCTGCAAAAGAGGAATATATTTCAAGAATATATGACTTGTATGACAAAAGAAAATGTGTTTGTACTAAGATCCATACTATTAGCCTAATCATGTTGCTACTGATTCATTTATATTCAATTAACATTGTCACACATTTTAATTATTTACCCAGTACTGACACTCATTATTTTCTGACACAAAACTTTGACAAGTTCGTTTTGGTCGCTATACGAAACCCATTTTTTTCAAATATTTACATTTTTTAATTACTTTTCATATGTTCACTTCAAAATTTCTCATTGAAAATTAAACTCAGAAATGCTTACAAAATAAAAAAAACAAACAAACAATCTGACGTACTGATATTGGGTTTTATCATGTTTTCTATATCTACAACAACAATGAATCGGATGATATGATTTGTGTTAAATGTTCAGCGACAAATATTACATGCATAGCATGATGATGACATGTTACTTTGACATAAGTATACACACCTTGCTGTTTGAGGGGAGTAGACAGACTTGATGAATCAGATTGAAATCTTGTTAGCCTCCTTCTATGCAATGTGTTTGAACCAACCATGCGTTACACTTATTCACTGAAACGCGAGAAATAAGACGTAGATACTCTTTTCGAATACCCACGCATCCCCACGTCAATTTTTAAAGACCCAAATGTTGCAAAACACTTCTCTTACTTCCATTACAAATTTGTTGTTGTCCCCGCAGATAAAGCCCCAAACAACATCGTTTGTGTGTGTAAATATCATTACATAAACTGCTTGATTAGGTATTGACAATTCATTTGGAAACTCAACATATACCCTCACGACATTTACCAAAGAGGAAATCCTGGATAATCATAAGTCTGTTCTATGTTCCTTTGGAATTTCAACCAAAGATGAAGAACTGGATCTGCCATCACTGTATATGATACCTAAACTAAATAAGTGTCCTTACAAACAACGGTATATTGCTGGGTCTTCCAAGTGCTCCACGAAACCTCTTTCAAAATTATTAACATCTACTTTATCAGCAATCAAAGCCGGGCTCCAAAGATATTGTTAAACTGCCTATACTAGAGATGGCGTGAATCAGATGTGGATACTAAAAAATTCCAAAGATCTTTTAGAATGCATACAATCTAAGACTCTCTCATCTTGCAATAGTATTAAAACATTTGACTTTTCTACACTTTACACAAGTATTCCCCATTCCAAACTAAAAGACAAATTGAAAGAGTTGGTATTACTTTGTTTCATTAAAAAGAATGGCGAACGTAGATACAAGTATCTTGTCTTGGGGAGAGATACATCCTACTTTGTAAAGAATCATTCTGATTCAAACAAAAAATTCTTTGAAACTGACATTATCAAGATGCTTGATTTCTTGGTTGACAACATATTTGTTACGTTTGGAGGACGAGTTTTTCAACAGACTGTCAGAATTTCTATGGGAACCAATTGTGCCCCTCTTCTAGCCGACTTGTTTCTTTATTATTATGAGTTGACTTCATACAGGAACTTCTTAGGAAGAAAAATAAGAAGTTAGCAATATCCTCTAACTTTGCGTTCCGCTATATAGATGATGTTCTCTCACTAAATAATACAAAATTTGGTGACTATGTTGAACGAATCTATCCCATCGAACTAGAGATAAAGGATACTGCAGATACAGTTAAGTCTGCCTCATATCTTGACTTACATCTAGAAATTGACAATGAGGGACGGTTGAAAACAAAATTTTACGACAAAAGAGATGATTTCAGCTTCCCAATTGTAAACTTTCCATTTCTATGTAGCAACATTCCAGCAGCGCCTGCATACGAAGTATATATCTCCCAATTGATACGATATTCCCGGGCTTGTATTTCCTATCATGGTTTCCTTGATAGAGGATTGCTGCTCACAAGGAAGCTATTAAACCAAGAGTTCCAAATGGTGAAGTTTAAATCATCCCTTCGTAAATTTTACGGACGCCATCACGAGTTGGTTCACCGTTATGGAATAACCGTTTCACAGATGATATCGGATATGTTCCTTATGTCGTAACTACAATACCCTTCCCTTTTCACGAATGTGACCTACCAAATTAGACTATTTACCGGCTTTGTAATAACATAAGCAACACGACGGATGCCACATGTGGAGCAGGATCTGCTTACCCTACCGGAGCACCTCAGATCACCCCCAGTTTTTGGTGGGGTTCGTGTTGCTTAGTCTTTAGTTTTCTATGTTGTGTCATCTGTACTAATATTTGTCTGTATGTCTTTTTTATTTTTGGCCATGGCGTTGTCGGTTTGTTTTCGATCTATGAGTTGGACTGTCCCTCCGGTATCTTTCGTCCCTCTTTTATTGGTTGTCAATGTCGATACATATCCCGTAGTAGTAGTATTCAAAATCAACCAAAGTTTAATAGACATTGTCATCAACAGTAAAATAAGCAACTGAAAATTAATTCAATTTGTCAAATATTTGAAAAGGTAAGGGACACTGCTGAGTAATATAACCAAGACTTTTCAAAGGATTAACTTGTCCTTTGATTTCACTCTTTTCCAATATCAACATAGTGACTGGTACAAATGACGAAAAAAACTGAGATATACCACAATTCACTTTAGCATGAAGACTAATCACTTATCAATTACTTTTACTCATCAAGTTTCAAGATATTTCAAGATTTTGGTGAGGTTTTTTTTCTTCTTGATATATAGTTACATGTTTACGGGTAGTGCTTTCTGTCTCTGTGTCTGTCTTGTCTTGTTTGATTCCGTATGACCATGGCGTTGTCAGTCTTACTAGTAATAGTAAGTGTTACTAACTGTGTGTACATTCTTTAAATAAAGAAATTATTATTATCACACTACGACTTTGGAATTGATTGTCTATTCGTATCTCTTTTTTTTTAAGACGCATATGTTTTTTCTAAATCCAAGTATTTCGTCTGTCAAGTCAAAACATTAAGATTTTGTGTTGATAGGAAAAAATTATTCAGCAAATCTTTGTTTATACCTTAATTTAAAAAAAAAGTATTAAAAACTACCAAGCTGCAAGGCAAATTGAAAAGGAGTAAGTCTGCCAAATTTTCAACAAAGACATGTTTTTCATTTTGTGCGTATGCGTCGTTACCTTGCTAAGCAATTGATATATCCACCGAATATCTTTTCATTCAAAGACGAAAGGTACTAACAATCCTACTTTATGTTGTTCTTAAAGATTATTGGACAGAATACTGATAACACTGATGAAACAATAAATAGTTGTTGGTTGTGCGGCATTCTAATGACTAATACAATCTCCGAACGCGTTTCTCTACAATAACAAATATGACCTGCTATACATCAGGTTTTAAATCATTACATAACTCAAGCATGAACACACCATTTATAGGATCTAGTATTTTAAATACTAATACAATCTGCACGAGTTTATCTATCATAACACATTTGACCTGCTACACAACAGGTTTTAAATCATAAGACAATTCACGTATAAACACACCAATTATAGGATCTAGTATTTTAATTAACAAAGACATTTACTTATCTGTAACAAAGTATAAATATGTATTTTAAATCTGCTGTCGTCTTTTGGTCAAGTTAAAAGTTTTACACACATACGGTGCAAGTTACTTCAAAAGTTTGATTTGTACATACATCTATTGCCTGTACCAAGTCAGGAATATGACAGCTGTTGTCCATTCGTTTTATGTGTTTGTGCTTTTGATTGTGCCATTTGATTAGGGACTTTCCGTTTTGAATTTTCCTCGGAGTTCAGTATTTTTGTGATTTAACTTTTTATCGATCGACATTGAATTTAACAAAATAATCTTACATAGACATAGTTAGTCATAAAGCAAGTTTTTAAAGATGAGTTAGAAAATAAAAGTGTGAGGTAAGTTTTTATTTCATTTTAGTTTATATAAGAAGGAAACATTTCTTAACTTTACAATATTTAAGGTAATATTACACTTATAATAGACATATTGTTTTTGATTGTCTATATATGTCATTTCATTGTGCAATAATGGTGTTATATTATCGATGACGGGGAGATAAAAGTTATTATCTTTATTAAAACAATTTGAATGCATTGTTTAAAGGGATATTGGAAATAACTCGGTGTGCAAAAGTGAATGTTTGCAAGTAAAAATGTTGTAAATGATTTTTCTTGACTTCTAATTACATTAATGATATATTTAGACGGATATATTCTTGTAACAACCTGCAATTTATACTAAAATGAAGAAAAAAAAATGGATTATCATGATAGGATTATAGTTCCGATGTTTCAATAGATTTAATGGAGATAAAGACGGAACTATTTCATTGTGTTTATTCCAACATTCATGTATATAGGTATGATGTTTCATTTGTAATTCTGGTTGGATGTTGTTTTATATCTTATCGTTTGTGGTTTTAATTCATTCTTTTTTTTCTATATGCATGTAAAAGTAAAGATATTAATCACTTAGTTCAGTTATGTGGTTTTTAGTTTAAAGCAACTATTTGCACAGGATTTATTTGTTTTTACACAGTTTGATTATTTGATTTAGAAGAAACAAACCGACATGGTTATAACATACAAATAATTACACCATTACTAACACAATTCTTTAATAATATTCGTGTAATGGTTAGAAAATACATCAAATAACACCATTACAAACTTAATCCCAATTTTTTATTCTTTTTTTAGAATTTTACCTAGGACGTCACTTTTTGTGGCGTTGATATATTCTATTGTGCTGTATTTATATTCTGTCGTAAATTAATTTTAGGTGTTCGTTGTTATTCTGTGGTTTACATGTAAAAATGTACTTTTATTTATTTATGTAGTTCTCTGTCCTGAATGTTCTTGCATTTATTTGTACTGTATTCCTGTCACATAATGTTGTCATTTTAGCGGTATTTTTAACAGTGCCATATAAGCGGGAGGTTTGGCGAGCAATAAAACCATGTTCAACCCACCATTTGTTTCTTATAATGTCCTGTACCAAGTCAGGAATATGGCAGTTGTTATCAAATAGTCCGTTTCTATGTATGTTGCCGTTTGTTTTTGTACCAGTTCAATGTTTCTGTTACAAGTGGTACAATCAAAATCAATGTATCAAGAACATTGTTAGAGGTCGCCTTTATCCAACTTTGTGCAAACACTTAATTCAGGCGAAACTAATCTGGTGAAACCTTTTAGCGAAAGCATTTTAATGGTTTGATGGTTTCTATGCATTTGTTTTATTAATTCAGTGGTCTCTTACTTTTCCCATATTTGTCAACACTCTGCTTTTCATCTTGAACTCATAACGCGTTTAGATTTTGACAGATAATTATTTTTCAGATTGCCGTAAAAAGGTAATTGTAATAATTTGATAATCGGCGGTAAAGTTACCAATCACTTTGGTAATTGTGTTGTCGAATGGCTTCAAGTGTGAGGGAAATAGGTCATTTTTATACGCCCGTCAACATTTTGATGGGACGTATTATAGTATACGATTGTCGTCTGTCCGTCTGTCCGTCTCTCCGTCTGTCTTACCAGCGTAAACATGTCGCACCGTAACTTGAGAACGACTTATCCAAATTTCATGAAACTGTACATAGTTGTTTTTTATGATGGTCAAACGATCTGTATACTTTTTGGTGAAAATAAGATTAAAACTTTTTGAGTTACGGGACTAAGTAACTAAAACAGGTATGTGTTTTTTTTTCACATGTCGCGCCTTATCTCAAAAAAGATTTATGATTATTGCTTAAACTTTTACACACTTCTTAGTTATATTAATCTTAAGATCTGTATACTTTTTGGTTTTGATTCAAAATTTTATTTTAGAAATATTGAGTTTTTTTGTAAAAAAAAGGGGGGGTTTTCGCATGTCGCGCCGTATGTAAGAAACTATTTATGATTATTGCATAAAAATTTACACACAAGACGAAATACAAATAGTCTTAAAATATGCACCACAATCACAGTGTTTAGTTTACTATGCAATCGAAATACTTAATATGTATGCTTGCCTATGATTGGGAGATAACCTAGATAAAGTAACTTTTATAATAGAATGTGTTATGGATTTACCTATTTTATCATGTAGCAAGAAAAACGAGTCTGATGACCCCATTTGTTCTTGTTATTATCTGATAGCATATTATTACAGCTATCTTCTCATATTTTATCTAAACATTCTATTGTTTAGTTTTCTTTTTATCGCACAAAATTGGGTTTGTAGCGGGAAAAAAAGCCCGGTTGAACTTTTTAATATATTTTTGAGAAAAAAACAATGATGTAAACTACATTTCGACAAATCATTAAAATATTCTATGGATTTTAATTCAAACCCCCATCTACCTTAACTGTCATTGTTTTTTTTATTCATAATACATCTCTCAATAACTTTTATATTGTTTGTTCATGGTTTCAGTGGTAACATATTAAACATTGTAGCGAAATACAAAATTATGGGCGTTGAATATTTGTTTACCTCTGTTTCAAAACTACTGATTATAGCTCTCCTTTTAAATTCATCAGTGTTTTGTTCTGTAGAAACAATGAGTTATCTGTCTCTTCTATTTTGTCGAGATCCGTATTGGATAAAACAATTCTGGAAAGAATTAGAATTAGGCGGGGTATTCATATGAAAAGCGTGATTGAACCGATAACTGTTAGTTCTCGAAAAAAGTGTATATGTTGCTGTGTGTTTAAAGTTTATTACTGTTTGATCTTTGACACATTTGTGATATTCTAATGCAATTTCCGTTTTTGAATTTTCCTCGGAGATCAATATTGTTGTGATTCAACTTTTTCCTATGTTAAAAACATAACTTTTGCAACAATCTTTAAAACGGAACCAAACTAAACATTTTCTCATATATGATCGCCAAACACCTAATCAGTCGGTTCAAAAACTACAAGAAAATGTGTAAAAATAGTTTTCTATCTTCTATGTCCACAACCTCTTTAAAATCAGTCATTTGGAACTAAAATCTAACTCTTTCTGTAAATCCTCATTATTTGACTCTAAACAAAAACCTTATCAATAGAATATAGCAATACAATAAAAAGGTCGGAAAAGATACCATATAGATTGACTCACTCACATTCGGAATAGCGGTAGTACTGATGGAATAACGAATAAACATTGTGCAAACCTACAGTCCCTACGGTCCCGAATGTACAGGGCTTAACATATGCGAGAACCGCTTAAACTCTCAACAGAGCAAGAACGAGTACGTCGATGCGGTTAGCAGACAGCAAAACATATCTTTTGTATAAGGTGACATACATTCACATCGAATTGATTAACTCATTCGTGTTGATGACCGCGAGTTATATTACGTACAGGGGAATTATTTTGCGGTAGGAGCATATTCCTGTTAATGAGGTCGTGTATTTTGTACAAACACGCGCGTAACGTTATTGACAAGTGCAAACACTTTACGAGGTAACAGATGGTATGCTGTTCAAAATCACTTTTTTGTTTGTCCCTTTGTAATGTTAAATGATGATTTGTTTGTAGATGAAACGCACGTCTGACGTACACTAGTAAATGTCTGATACTTTTGACGATTTGTTTTTTTACTGCAATGGGATGATAATACTAGAGTAATGTGAAAACTAAAACTATCTATCAATCTAATAGAGAACTGTATGCTATTAAACAGAGCTTTTTGTTTGGGTGTTGAAATTTATTTCAAGTTACTGATATATATGCAAATCTAATAACCTTGCCAAGAGGCATTGTTAGTGAAAATTTTGTATGAATTTTGTTTCAAATAAGTACATTAAAAAGTCGATCAGAAGATTTGCACATATAGTACCCACTGGAAACATTTTGCTTTTTACAAAATTAATGTCATGATTAAAAAGTCCAGTGTTCAGACAATATGATATTTGGAGTATTTGTTATGGTTCTTCACAAAGTAATAATGTTTATGCCATTTTGATAAAGAACTTGCGCCTACGATTCCAAATTATGTATAAAATCGCATTGTTTCATTAAACGATACAACCTATATTGTAATTGGAAAGGAAGAATAGAAAGGTAGGGAGCTGAATAATCAAAAGTTTAGTATTAGGATAAAATGGTTATAATTTATTATTGAAGATTTCGGAGTAGATTTTTTTTAATTTGATAAAATCACATCCGGTTGATATCGCTAGTATAGTTTACATATTACATTTTTATTAACGCAATTTAGACAATATCGTTCTTGGTAAAAAGTGAAAATACCATAGGAAAATCAAAACCCAAAGGCCTATAGAAAACACAGTGGCAGAAAATAGGTAAAACACACTAGACAGAACAAAACTAAAAGATAGAGCAACATTTACCCACCAAAAAAATGCAGGGTTAGTAGTTGTTGCTCCACGGATGGCACTGTCGTGTTTTTCAGGTCAATATACTTTGAGAAGTCAAATTTGATGAGTAAGGATATTCTGTTTAACGGTGAACATATTGAAATAAGCTTTGGAACTATGTTACAATTAATGTTATGTTGAAAGAAGTACTAGTAATACAATAATATCACGGCCCCGTGAATGAGGAATACAGTTTGCAATAATAACACAGTGATATATAAAACAAAGTATGTATAAATGATTAACAAATGACGTGACCACATTAGATGAAGTGTTATTGGTCTAACTCACATTGGTTAGCCATGGATTGTCCAAAAAGAAGTCAACAAGAATAAAAGCATAGTTGTTCCCCATACGAGTACCGATTGTTGATTGACGTCAACAACACGTAACGAATGTATGGTCAATAAACAAACCAAGCATTGTTATCTTAAATTTGTTTGAATAAGGGTTATTGTCTTAAAAGTATATTTTCCACTTCCTTAAGAATGTTCGCTGCTCTGTTTCAATATAACAAGCTTTAAAAAGACAGTTATACATTGATAGTATATAAATAAGGGAACAAAAAAGCAGAAGAAAATGAAAGATCCATATCCTTGCATGCGATATAAGCCATTGCCAATTTGTCGGGAAATAATTTGCTCTAAATTTTTCATATATCTTTCATACATTCAACATAAGCATATTTGTCTTTCAAAAAACTATAAAATAAAATAGCAAAGATTTTATGAAATTATCTAAACTATAATTTTTTTTATATAATAATATTATGAAAAGAAAAGTAGGTGTTACATGAAAAATTGTTGATGACACTACATAGATGAAACCAGAGGATTTCGAATACCAAAAAAAAAAAATAAAAAACAAGACTAGCGAACATCCTTACAATTATTTAATAAGATATGTTTATCTAAGTTGGCCATTCTTTCTGAGAAAAAAGTAGGATTAGTTGGTTAAGAAGTTATGGTATCTTTGGAAATTTTTAACAGAACTGGGCTGATGCAAATGCTTTTTTACATTTCGTCCCCGAGTATATCACCAGCCCAGTAATCAGTTATACTCATGTGCTGACATGAAATATCAGTTCAAACTGTTAATTATATGTCCTCAATGCTCTTCAACTGTGTACTCTGTCTGGCCTTTTTAATTTTGTGTATTCGAGCGTCACTGATGAGTCTTTTGTCGACGTGTCTGGTGTAGAACATTTAAATCATTGTATCTATGATGAGATTATATTCGAACTGAACAAAACATTCAACATACTAAGGTGCCTTACTTTAAGGCATGGAAGGTCTATGTAAGGTCTTGCACACCGTTAAGATATTTTTGTTTGCAATGCTCTTCATCTTTCCTACAGCGTCGTGTATGCTAACAGTTAAGACTAGTCTTTTGGGTCAACCGGTCTTTATGTTAAAGTACGTCTCTAACAAAACGGTTTTCTGAAAATATTTCACACACACAGTAATGTTGTATTTTCTTTTACAGGTAGGAGATGGACAAAGACTCTCTAAATCAAGTAATTATATTATAGTAACTGAAAATAATATTATTCGTATTTAGCATGAAACGATATCATTGCTTCATTAAAATCATATTTATATAGTATTCCGAATTCAGATTTTACTTAACATTGGTTTTGCGCAGTAAAGTTAAGGCAATTTCGATCAGATTTGGTCAGGGGGAGGTAACCCTGCAAGGACCGCATTAAATATTCATATATTCATTAATGACAGAGAGCCAGTAAGCTGCGTTCATCGATTAAAATGTATAATAACAAATTGCATACATGCATTTGAAATAAAAACGAGTGTGATTTATTTACTGAAACGCGAATATGTATGTTTGTGCCTTAATTATATTGTAAACGGTTGCAATGGCTGTCTTTCTTGCCGAGATTTGTCAGCTTGAAGGAACCCGCCTCTTTTTGTATATCAACCAATCAGAAGACGCTTGCCGTCGGAAAGATGCTTGTGGTTTGCAGAAGTTGCAGAATAGAAAGCACCTTGCAGCGGAAATTAGTTTTGGTCTTTACAATGAAATATAAAATTTGTGCGTAAATTTTTTGTTAAATGGTTTAAAAAATGTAGTACTTTTTTATAAATGTTTAAAGGTGCTTGGAGTTTTTCATAATCTTAGTAAAGGTTAACATTGTTCCCTAAAAACATACTAATTACTTGAGATACAGGAATTGCAAATATATGTGGATATTTTTTATATGCCCCGCACAAGGCAACGGGGGCATTAAGTGTTACCGCTGACTGTCTGTTAAGCCCAATTTTAGTTTCCGCACTCATGCAAATCTGATGTAACTCGTACACAATGCTAAGAATCACAACAAGCAGATAGAGTTTTGGTTCTGAGTCATGTACCGTTCTGGAGTTATGCCCCTGTTTAACTTGGAAAATTGCAAAGCTTGAGCGGGGGCATTCGTGTCCTCAGACATTCTTCTTTTATTGTAGAGTGATTGTTGTTCCAAAATGATGTCAATAGATATGGTTCCTGTTACCAAATTTTCAAACACATGACTTTTTATACGCTTGTCGAAGACAGGACATATTAATTGTCTACCAATGTCTATCTGTCTGTCAGCACTTTGTAAGATAACTTAAATTTTATGTAATTTGATCACAACATCAAGATTTTTATTTTTGAAAAAAATGCCCGTGTCATTCCAGAGTTACAGGAGGGTAGGAATGGGGCACCCCACGTAACGAATATGTGTTTAAATAACGTTGAAGATATACATTTTATTCCATTTGATACCAAGTAGCTACAACATGAGATATGAGGACAAAAAATGAAGGCTCATTCGACGCTAACAGTAGCGAAAAATAAATGTTTGACGCTTGACGATCAAGAGCATTCATATACCCTCCTTTAACAGTTTAAATTGTGGTAAGTTTTCACACATGCACTAACACCACTATGCTCAATACATGTACTCTATCATGTTTACATTATTGTTGCATGGTTACGTGCTCAACAGCTGTCCAAGAAATCGATATTGAAAGTATGGGAATTGCGATCAATACATATTACCGGCCACCCAGAGTTATTTGTTCTATTTTTAAAACATGTACAATATCAGTTGAAATTCTTGGAATTCCGGATGACGTAATTGAATCTGATTGGCTAAGATAGAACAGTGATAAAGGGATTTTCCACTTTCTATTTTGGAAACACCAATAGTTTTTGTTACTAGTCCGTCGGGTATATGGGGTTCCAAGTTTTGATTACCCGAGGCGTAAATGCTCCAGTCCTGGGCGTCGGGCTATTGGATTTTTTAATCTTTGATAAGCAAAAAAACACGTTACAAAATTATTTGACTGCATGAACCAAAACTGACCACATTTGCACTTTATTATGTAAATCTATATAGCCGCATTGTAAATCAGTAATATGTTTATGTCAGGATGAGTTGTATAATACAAATGACAGCAATATTGGAAAACCATGACTACAAAATGTTGTTTGCATCAATTTAGAGTGCCAGCGTGTCCTCTTTTTATTCAAAATATTGGATCGTAAACAAATTTCGGTAGTTTTGATACCTCAGGCTGACTCGTATAACAAAATTAATTGTCCGCATCAACCAAAACTGACCATATTTGAACTTTAGTAGGTAAATCTTATATTTTTCCTCTCTGTATCCATTATAATGAACCGTCACTAAAATCAGTAGTTTGGGATGTTTTGTATTTAAAACGAAACTATTTAACGGCATCATCCAAGACTGACATGACTGATTTGATTTGTACTTTACAATGAAAAGTATGATAAGTTCTCTTCTTGGAATAGTATAATGTTCGTATATCATGTCGGTTGTTTGATTTTGTTTGTAGCTAAACGTCCATGGGGCAAATATTTCATTCATGTTCAGAACGAGTATTTTTTTTTCGGACGTCCTAGATATCATTTATAATCGGGATGACAAGTCTTTCTAAATTGACGAGATGGTTACAGGTACATAACTATACAACACCTTATTAATAACCCTTCACTGTACAATTTTCGTTTGAACATTTGGCAAAAACAGAATCGTAAATCAAAGGCAAACAAGGTGAATTACGATGCAAAGTTCATATATTAAATGCAGAGAGTTAAATTTAGGAAGGGACTGTTAAAAATGGGGAACGAAGCAACGTAAACCATGATGTTTATATCCCATCATATAAAAATAGTTTTCCGATGCGTTGGATAACCTTTCTTTTATGATAGCTGCATGTATATTTGTCGATCAAAAGTGTGTAATTTTATAGCCAATTGTTAATGTGTATAATAATATGAAATGAAAAAGAATGTGTTAATGTGTTTAATATCTATACAGAGTCTAACGAGTATAGTAATTTGTCCATAGGTCTGGTCTGGAGAAGACTTGCCGATAGGTCTGCAATATTCCTAAAAAAAAAAGCAGACATAGGTCTAGTCTACCAACGACTAAGTTAACTTGATTGTCTGCTTAAAATTTCTCCAGTTAACTGAAGAATCTGGCAAAATCATTACAGACGTTAGAGATGAGTTGGTACGATCAGATAATGTTCAAGTTTCTAGAAAGGGTTTATATGCATTTTCCGACGTTTCCGTCATAGTGGAAATATTTTTGTAAGTCGATATTTGTACATGTAAGTTTTAAAAAGAAAATATTGAAAATCCGCTACTTAAAGTTATTGGAACTGATTTTTTTTTTTTGCAATTAATAAAAGTTAATAATTCGAATTAAAAGTGTTTTTGAATTGTTTTGGTTTTAAACACATATACGTAAAATATTAAGATAAAAGTCGTTTTAATAAAATAAAAACAAAATAAATGTACGAATGTACACGAACAAAATTGGAAGTGTATTTCATAATTTACACAATCAGTTAACGCGAAAAGAAAACGCGCGTTTACTTTCAAGTGTAGGTAAATATACACTTGTGAAATCTGTAGTAAACGCCCGTTTACTTTTAAGTGCACGTAAAAGTAAACTTGTGAAATCTGAAGTTAACGCCCGTTTACTACTGACTAAACGGACACAGAGTAAACGCGCGTTTACTCGGGTAGACATTAGAAATTTCCATTTTGACCGCGTTAACGTAATTATAATAAACGCGCGTTTACTAGTAAACGTGCGTTTACTAGTAAACGCGAAATTTGAAGTTAACTAACGAAATATGTGCACGCGGCTAACGTGCGTTTACTTTATGTAATACTTGGTCTGCACCCAACTGTAGGTATTGTGACTCAATTCATCTGTTATTATGATAAATACTTCATTGTCGAAAAAATTGCATTAATATTTGTTTATGATCAAGGATTCAGAAAAACAGTGTTTGTTTGTTTATTTTCTTTAGAAAATTTGAGACCAAGAGTGAAGGTCTTTGAAATATAAATCCATGGATTTTCTTTCTTGATGGAGTAAAATGGTATATCATGTATATGTTGTATCAAATATCTTAATACAAGATACACATTTCATATCAATTTTCAACCCCCTTCCTTGTATGAACACTTTGATGACATATATGTCACATAATGAACTGCATTTCTTATAAAAATAAGAAAAACATGTATGATTGCCAATGTGTCAACTCTCCACAAGAGACCAAATGACACAGAAATTTTAAATCAACTGTAGTTCACCGTACGGCCTGCAACAACGAGTAAAACCCATACCGCTTAGTCCTGCTTATAGTATGTCCACATTGTACTTTTTTATTGATATTGGTTGGGCATAAAAATAATGAGGTGATATGATTGAAAGGATCTCTAAAAAAATATTATAAAGACAAAGGTGTTATTGTTAAGTTGGTCAAGGTGTGTAGTTGCTAAATATACATTGTAGATTTAATTTATCTTACAAACTTAGATATTGTAAAGTGCTCAAGGATCAAATGATCTCTTAATTGGTTGTATTCAAGAATTAGTTATATTGCCGGTGTAATGTTTATAATCGATGCATGACTTCATTTTTCAGCATTTCATTGATGGGTTAGTTTTAGTGTCAGATGTAAGGACTTTCTTATTACTAGTATTTGGGAAATATTTTTAAAAAAAATGCGTTATAGACATTAGGTGGCACAACAGTACAAAGAAAAGGTAGGAATTGTATATGTTTCCTGATTGTGAGTATAAATGTAAATCATGTAATAATTTAGTGTGGATCTATCCTTTTTTAATTTACAGTTTAAATCAATAAATGCATTTGTGTGACGACTAATTGTATTTCACAGTCAATATTTTGTTCCGACTTTTTAAATCAAATACTATTTTAATATGTCAGGGAAATGTTCTAATAAAATGCCTTTAAAAGTTTTAAATATATTCAAAACTGAAATCAAATTTCCGTTCTTTCTTCTTCTTTTTTTCATTTTATCAGAATATTGGAAATAAGTATTCTTCCCAACTACTGGTCCAGTAATCAGAGTTTTTGAAAGCTAAAGATTTAGGTTATTATTTTATTTTAAAACTTGTTTCTTTCTTTTTTTTTTGCATTGCTTTGATATTGTTATTTGTTTTTAGTAATTTGAAGTTATT